TTTTTACCTTGTTTTTTGGAATCTAAAAGGATATTTGGAAAATAAATGAAAGAAAAGCTTTACATGACAGCGTGTGTTGCATTACATTTAAAAATGTATCTACTGCTCAGTCTTCTAAGTGTTCAATAGAATTTGATAACACTACTTTTTTAGTAGGATCCATGAACTTCTTCATGCTTTTATTGGAAGCTGTAATAACCTCACAGTGCAGATTTATGCTCTAAGAGGGAGTATAGGTGTGTGTTTGTTTGTTTACCTGTGTGACCTCAGCAGACAGCTATGTGAAAACCTCAGCTGATCTTCCCGCTCAGCATCAGCATGCCTGAGTTGTTATTTCACTTACTGTCCTTTAGCACAGAGTGGAGTTGGTAAATGAAGACTGCATGACTCGTTGTACCGTCCTGGTTCTGGATAATCCATGTGATCATTTTAAGGTCTGATCTTAACGGCGCATTCAGCCCTTTAAGAGGATTAAATCTTCTCTTTTTCTATCTTATTATGGTTCATTGTGATTGGTCTCATTTAGTATAAGGCTGTAGAAACCCATTGTTCCTTAGTTTAAATATTAGTTGTTTAAGGGATTAACCCTTTATAGTGCAATCAGTGAAAATCAAAATCTAAAGCCAATCCAGGACTGGACCTTATTCCCTTTCTAACATAAAATATGGATATTTTGATGGCCAAAATCAATGTCAATGTAATAACAAGAAACGCCAATTTGCCCGAATATATTAAGAAAAATAACAAAAGTGCTTCTATAAGAAATTCATGAAAAACACTCAGAGTGAAAAAACACATTCATTTTGGTACAACATAACCTTAGAGGCATTAATGCTGACACTGGCACTTAAATTTTTTAGTTTATAAACCTAAATATAATTCTTAACTAGGCTAATTAACTTTTTAACTTTACTTTTTAACTTTTCAATTAGATTTTTACCCTTTTTTTCATGTTAACTTTTCTTTTTCAACTTAATTTACAGTAGGTAATATGTCATTCATGGGCTCTTCTAATTGGTCAAATACCAAAATAAGATGTACAGCCATATATATATATATATATATATATATATATATATATATATATATATATATATATATATATATATATATATATATATATATATATATATATATATATATATATATATAAATATTGCTGAATGGCTGGATATAGATCTTGTGCTTCTAGATGTCACTAAGGGGCAGGGCTCCATTTGTAAAGGGTATGCAAGTGATCAAAAAAAGCTAACTTGCCCTATAAAGGGTTAAAAATAGAACATTTTTTTTGCAATTTTTGAAGTTTTAACAGTTCTTAACTTAAGACTTTAGACTTTCTATACAAATGGAGAAATTTTGGATTGATCTCTGAATTTGCTCAGGTCAGAGTTGCTCTGAATGAATTATAGAACAACTAGTTTGTTTCCTTATTGAGGTAAAAAGCTAGATCTCAATAGTCAGGAAATAATAGGAAAGCTTAGCTGTACTTTGATAATAATAAAGTAAATTTAAAAGTTTATTGATACTTTGAGGTAATTTGAAATCCTCTGGTGACTTTACTTTCTATTCAATCTATACTGTGATTTGGAGCTTAAGGCAATCTGGTTTTAAACTCACCACCTTATGAATCAGTTAAAGGAATAGTACACCCAAAACATGATTAGCCTTCATTTTCTACTCACCCCCATGCTGAACAACACTCTGGAGTACTTTTTTGATATCTCAAATGCATCTGGAGATCTGGGAGGCTTCTTGCTGTCTGCTGACATTCAAATAATGGAGGTCTATGGTGACCGAGACAGAAAGGTCCTTAAAAGTCCACAAAAAATGTGTCAATATTCCTCCATACTGCTCGTCCAATGTATTCCAAGTGTCCTGAGTGGGTAGCATCCAGAATTTACTCGAAACGGAGTCATTTAGAATGTTTTTAGAGCATAAACAGTAGTGTATAGGATTTCCTGAAAGCGCGCACATGCGCGATCACGACGCTACGGAAGCCGGCAGACCAAACCAGATGAAAATGCGCATTCAGCGTCTGCTCTGCCAATAATGCAAGCGTAGAAGAAGAAATGTGCTGTTTACCTGTGCAAAGAAAGAAACAACGAAAGAAAAATGTCTGAGGACTTCAGTGTTGAGGAAGAGCATGAGTTCTTGAGTCCGTGCCGAGCTGAATGCGCTGGTTTGGTCTGCCGGCTTCCGTAGCGTCGTGAACGCGCATGTGCGCGCTTTCAGGAAGTCCTATACACTACTGTTTATGCTCTAAAAACATTCTAAATGACTTCGTTTCGAGTAAATTCTGGACGCTACCTACTCAGGACACTTGGAATACATTGGACGAGCAGTATGGAGGAATATTGAAACGTTTTTTGTGGACTTTTACGGACCTTTCTGTCTCGGTCACCATAGACCTCCATTATTTGAATGTCAGCAGACAGCAAGAAGCCTCCCAGATCTCCAGATGCATTTGAGATATCAAAAAAGTACTCCAGAGTGTTGTTCAGCATGGGGGTGAGTAGAAAATGAAGGCTAATCATGTTTTGGGTGTACTATTCCTTTAAGGGAAATTCAAGAGAAATGTGACTATATGTGGCAATTCAGAAGTATTAATCATAACGGTATAAATTAGTTTAGTTTTAGTCATGATCATTAGAATTTTATTGATCACATTAGAGAGAGCTGTGTCTATTTACTTTAAGTCTGGATGAGGTAATCTTCTTACATGTAAGTCGATTAATACATTTCAAAGAGAGATGCTCTTTTGTGGGACTATTTTTTAATTCTTGGATGAAATGCATATTTCCCACACATCTGAAATGGAAATATGTTCCTTGCGCCATCTTGTTGGGTAAGTGCAGCGCCAGACAACCACAAACATCATAGCCTCCAGACACACAAGAGGAAAGTATATTGATATTCTTAAACAATGTGCAAGAAAACAGTATGTCCAAAAAAACCACGGCTGTCTGGATCGACCTGTAGGAGGCAAAGAAAAAAAATGTCACAGACACAGTGCCTCCAATCTGACACCAAGTTGACAAGGCTCCCAAGGCGATGGCTGGCAGTGACACACGATAGGACCCAAAGGGTCTCAGCCTCACTCTCCGCCGCACTGACAGCTGTGCAGGTGGGAGAAAAAAAAAAAACACTGTAAGGTTCCCAACAAGACTTTAAGTTCATCTTATAAAGCTAGAGGACAAACTCGTCCAATGACGCCATGACAGCGGGTGGTAATTGAAGAAATTTGTCATGAGAAATGTGGGCGCACTCAAGGAAAGAAGGCTCTCTGTAGGCTCACAGTCTGCTGGAGGATGTGTAAGGGATTACAATGATGTACAAATACATGCCATGGTATGGAGATACAGGCTACATGCATGCAGTTATATACTGACACTTTAACAAAAGGCTTATATATCAGCCTGATCCTTAAGATCAGTGTTTCCCATGTTCAGCACTCAACTACTTTGCTTGTGATCTTTTCTGATTTCTGGGATGTAAGAAAGCTGATTATTATGTCAAACACTGTTTAGAACATCCTTTCCCCCCGACTTTAATTGAACTTTATTGATCTCAGAGTGGAGAAATGAACCTCTGCATTTAACCCATCCCCTTGGGGAGCAGTGGGCTGCCACTGTGGCGGCGCCTGGGGAGCAGTGTGGGGTTAAGGGTCTTGCTCAGGGACCCAGAGCGCAGGCTGTGGGGATCTTAAAACCTACTCAGAGCATAATCGCACTGTTCTAACCCACTATGCTAACACTCCCAGGGGTTGAAGTTAAGTTTTTATCACTTGCCCTTTGGGCAAGTGGCTTTCACATTTCATTTGCCCAGAAACAATTTTACTTGCCCAGTATAATGTTTGATAAATATAGTTCCTAATATTGATTTTTGTATATATATCAATGAAACATGTTTGTTTTTTAAATGTTTTTTTGTAATTCAGTATTTTTTAAGTTTACAGGTTCCTGGCGTGTAAATGCATGCGTCAGATAATGAACTCAAGCCTACATTAACGTGTTAACATGCTTTTCAATCCCTCCTGCACATTCTTTTCAAACTAAACTTTGCTTTAAACTGTTGTGTGCTTGGAAAAAATATAAATTGTAATGTTAAAAATAAAAAAAAAATTTGACAGGTTAAAAACTTACAATACCACTACTCACCAATTTAACATGTTTAGCTCTATAACATTTAAATGCACCACTCCAATGTCTAAGAGAAAAGAATTTAATGAACTTTTTGTTTGTATGACCACTGTATAAAATATTTACACTGTGTGCATACAATTATTATTATTTTCCTAATCCCTGACTGATCATTTTTAATCTAGCGTGTATTATAGTATAGGTTAAATTCATCATCCAGCTGCTGCTCTGCAGAATTCTCTCCCCAAGAGCTGAATCACGCCATCTAGCGGAAAATCACGCTGCCTTTTCAAATCACGCGAGAATGTGTACAAAACAACAAAGATGGTGTCGGCAATGCTTGTGGGTCATTTTCAGCGAATGTCGGGGATTTTAAAGTAATTTTGAGTGATAAATAATTTTTTTTTGCGATCATTGCACTTGCCCGGCGGGCAAATGCAATGAAATTTGTACTCTCCTGACAATAAAAACTACTTTCCCTGGGCGATCGGGTGATGGTTAACATCGAGCCCTGACTCCTCATCTACAAAGCTTTCACCCACTGCAAGCTTGTGAAAATAAAATCTGAAATAAACTAAATGGTCCTCTACCGTTTATAAACTGATTTTGCTTAGAATATGTGACATCACAGGGGACCTGTGTATATGATGAAGTTATTCTTTGGAACATAGAGGCAGTTTATGTTTGTTTTTCAACATAGATTTCCTTTCATTATCCGTTTTATAGATGCTCTAGAATTATGAATCCTAGATAGGGTGTGCATTATACACAGATTGGATGCTGCAGGTTTCATAAAATGAACAGTTTTTGGTTATAAACATTTAAATATTTCTCTGACTTTGTGTTTGGTTTCCTTTCCAGTTCTTCTGCAGAGCCATGGTAATAAATATTTCCCTCTTATGCTGAGCTGCCTTGTGGGACAGTCAGAGGCATCATGGCAGAGCTGCCTATAGCCCCGGGCCAGATCTACATCGAGGTGGATTACGACTATGAGTACAAGTCCAAGGACCGCCTCATTACCATTCGAGAAGGGGAGCGTTACATGCTGGTCAAGAAAACGAATGAGGACTGGTGGCAGGTGAGGAAAGATGAATCCACAAAGCCATTCTATGTACCTGCTCAGTATGTGCGGGAGGTTCGCAAAGCCCTCATGCCGCCACCCAAACCCATCTCGCATTCCCTCGCTGCGTCTGGAAACTCGAATCCGCAAAGTGGCGCCGCACTCTGGGTGAAACCAACCAGTCTGGACCTGAGCCCCAACAATCGGCCCGCCGAGTCCCTCCAAAGAAACGAGTCCAAAACCCGCCGCTCTCCTTCAGCACAGACTGCCTCTTCTGCTCACTTCAGTCCACCGATCCACCGCAGGGACACTAACCACCATCACACTCCCGGTACGCCCACGGAGCACGAGCGAGCTCTGGCTGAAATCCTTGTTCAGGGCGGCGCTCTACAGCCTCCCCAGAAAGGGCGCTCCAGCACCCTTCCGCGCAACCGACCGCGATCGCCTGACATGGTGAGGGCTCCTTTAGACCTGGACGTATCCCAGCACTGCGACTCTGCAGGAGAGGAAAGACGCACCAATGATTCGGAGTCAGGAGATGAACTGAGCAGCTCTTCTACTGAACATCTCCAGGTAAGCGTAACCGTCTACTTCCTCTGCTTCTGAGCCTCTAGCAGGGAAAACTTTTCATGTGTCGGTTTTGAGTCAAAAAAAAAAAGATAAAGTCGCATCCATGGTAACGCCAAGAAGAAGATTTTCCACAAGAACATTTAGGTTTTCAAAATCAAGCAGCGAAACTCGCTTTATCTGTCAGGTCTCTCAATGTTAAGGTATGTTTTCAGTTACTTTCAGAGGAAAAACCCAAATTACTTAATCACCATAAGTCTGTATGCCGACTCAGACCTTCAGGATGTTAGAGACATTTCTCCTCTTCCTGCAGAGCAATTAGAAGGAGAAGCACCTGTTAAACTAAACTGTTATTGTCTGCCATGATCTGATCTGATCCCAGATATCAGATCAGTATCCTAATTAAGGTGTTAAAACATAAAAAAAAACATAAATTCAAGTCACAGCCACAAACTTGTAGTCCATAAACGAGGTTGAAATAAATGACTTGCAGTTATTGCCTTATTTTAGCTGTCCAAGCTTTGTGTCTCTCTGCAGCTCCTCTTTGGTTAGCATGGGCATCTTGGCTGATTCCCTGATTAATGCTGTCTCTGTCTGCTCACTGCAGGGGAACCTATCTGTCTGTGTAACTTTCCAGTTTTAACACATACTGTAATTTCACACACTGAGTTGAACTGAGCGCTGGGAGCTCCCCAAAGCTTGGTGAATAGTTTTTATAACCAAACCCTGCTTCAATATCCTCCATTTCATCCCTGACATGTCTGCTGTCACCTATTTCTTTCTAATAATGTTGTGTCTGGCGATATGGGAATAATAATAATTGTCTGGATGCTAAAAAAAAAGACTACCCAACGGCTTTTACTTTCACAAGTGGAGCAGTACGGCTATCGCTATAGTGTTCCGCTTGATTTATGCATATAAATAACTTTATTATAATTCATTCAGGGAGTATTACGGATTATATGGACTAGGGGTGTAAGTAATCATCGATCCAACAGCTGACGATCCGATGCATTGATACGTCCGTAAGAGTATCGATTCATGTTTTTTTTTTTTCCCTCCGGTCTGTTTTTATCCATTTGCGCCTGGACGTAATTCTCCTTCCCGTGCTGCGGTGGCGCTAAACCTATTTTGCCCTCCTACCTTGCTTCCTGGTTATACTCTTATAGCAGTTTGTTGCAGTGAGCTTGACACAGACATTTGTGATTTATGCTCAGTATTGAAGCGTGGTCTGTGCTACACACTGTGGGTCTAGATACGGCCGAGGCAGTGAGGAAGTGGGGGCGAGTTTAGTCCAATGACGGAGGGACATGAGGGCCAAAAATAGCGGAGATCCAGGTGGAAAAAGGCTCACAGCGTTCTCGCGCACCTCACTCTTCTAGCGGGTCAAACTTCACGAGTTGTTTTCCGCAATTTCGGTAATAAAAACAAAACAAGCCGGCCTCCTGTCTGCGGCGCTGTCTGCGGTCAGCTACAATTTGGGAGAGGAGCAGCGGAGCATCTGTGGAGGGGGCGGGAATGCCTGAAGCCGAGGTGTTGCATTGCACTGATCTTGTGCAGTATTTTTCTGATGCAAACCTTGCAGAATCTATAACGCAGGGGTATTATTATTTTCCAGTGAATGAGGTTTAAATAGGAATAGATGGAGTGCAACATTTCTACTTCTGTTATTTTCTGTGGTTTCTCAAAAAAAAATGCATAACGATATTACAGCTTTCATTGATTTATTTCAAATTTAAAACATTGTCTAGCCTGTAAGGTGTAAAAAAAAAATATTGAACCAATTAATCGAATCGTAGTGTATTCTTGAGTATCGAAAATAATCGAATTGTTGGGTCAGGAAATCGACACTGAATCGAATCGCCATGATGGGGGTGATTTACATCCCTACTCCCTACTCTAGACAAGGTTGAATGAGAGATAAGAATGACTTCACACAGCATCCTTCATGCCGTGAACGGGAGGCCTGTTCTGACTGTTTACCTGGCTAAAATTTATGTCCTTGATTAATTTTCTTGGGAATAACCAAATGTTTGTGTGTAAGAAAGTTCTTTATGTAGGGGTGGGATAGTTCCTAAGGAAAGAGTGTGTGTGTATTGGGAGTAGCTGTATATATATATGTACTGAGCTTTGCACAGTCAGACCTCTATCGCTCCGTTTTAGGACATTAAATCAATTTAAACATTCTCTTCCAAGAGTCTCAGCTTCCCACAGTGTTTACTGAAGTTTTTATAATTTCTACAGGCAGATTTACCACAATAGTTGATTCAAACCCTGAAATTATGGCTTTTAGTTTCAGTGTGCCACCTCAAGATTTTTTTTAGTGGCCCCATCTGGCCACCCCTATGAAACATTTGTGGAAGCTGATCGTTATAAACATTATCCTAACGTAGCTAATAGAAACATGATGTTTAAAATTAGAATATTGCATCATACCAGAAAAAGCAAACATTTTCATACAGAAATGTGGAGCTTATTGCAACGCATGTTAGAACTTCCAATTTTCTAAAGGTGCTTTTAATTTCTTAAAAAGGCTCACTGGAAATCATATTTGAAGTTACTGAGGTATGTTAAAGTAATAAAACGATGCATAAAGTTTCCCATGCCAATCTAAAAATAGTGCTGTGATGTAAGGCTGTTTTTATACCATTTCATTTGAAAACAATGAACCACCACTGCTTTGTTTCTACTAATAATATCCAACTCCTTTGTTTTTGACCTTTTCTGCTTAATACAAGATTCAGCGTCATGTTTTCCCATCTGACGTCACCACACTTTTTTTTTTTTTTTCCTAAAAGGTTATCAGAAACTAAACATCAGCAGCTTTAGGCCATAAAGCGGCCCAGTCCACAATGGAGCTCCTTCCTTCCTCAATCTTTCCCTGTCCTGCCTCGATAACACAGCAAAGGTCAATCTCAGTCGCACTCATGCTAGTTTTGGACATGAGCAGCCCTGCTTGCAATGTCTGCAACTCTCCTATTTTAAACATACACTATATTGCCAAAAGTATTTGCTCACCCATCCAAATTATTGGAATCAGGTGTTCCAATCACTTCCATGGCCACAGGTGTATAAATTCAAGCACCTAGGCATGCAGACTGTTTTTACAAACATTTGTGAAAGAATGGGTCGCTCTCAGGAGCTCAGTGAATTCCAGCGTGGAACTGTGATAGGATGCCACCTGTGCAACAAATCCAGTCGTGAAATTTCCTCGCTCCTAAATATTCCACAGTCAACTGTCAGCTGTATTATAAGAAAATGGAAGTGTTTGGGAATGACAGCAACTCAGCCACGAAGTGGTAGGCCACGTAAACTGACGGAGCGGGGTCAGCGGATGCTGACGCGCATAGTGCGAAGAGGTCGCCAACTTTCTGCAGAGTCAATCACTACAGACCTCCAAACTTCATGTGGCCTTCAGATTAGCTCAAGAACAGTGCGCAGAGAGCTTCATGGAATGGGTTTCCATGGTCGAGCAGCTGCATCCAAGCCATACATCACCAAGTGCAATGCAAAGCGTCGGATGCGGTGGTGTAAAGCACGCCGCCACTGGACTCTAGAGCAGTGGAGACGCGTTCTCTGGAGTGACGAATCGCGCTTCTCCATCTGGCAATCTGATGGACGGGTCTGGGTTTGGCGGTTGCCAGGAGAACGGTACTTGTCTGACTGCATTGTGCCAAGTGTAAAGTTTGGTGGAGGGGGGATTATGGTGTGGGGTTGTTTTTCAGGAGCTGGGCTTGGCCCCTTAGTTCCAGTGAAAGGAACTCTGAATGCTTCAGCATACCAAGACATTTTGGACAATTCCATGCTCCCAACTTTGTGGGAACAGTTTGGAGCTGGCCCCTTCCTCTTCCAACATGACTGTGCACCAGTGCACAAAGCAAGGTCCATAAAGACATGGATGACAGAGTCTGGTGTGGATGAACTTGACTGGCCTGCACAGAGTCCTGACCTCAACCCGATAGAACACCTTTGGGATGAATTCGAGCGGAGACTGAGAGCCAGGCCTTCTCGTCCAACATCAGTGTGCGACCTCACAAATGCGCTTCTGGAAGAATGGTCAAAAATTCCCATAAACACACTCCTAAACCTTGTGGACAGCCTTCCCAGAAGAGTTGAAGCTGTTCTAGCTGCAAAGGGTGGACCGACGTCATATTGAACCCTATGGATTAGGAACGGGATGTCACTTAAGCTCATATGTGAGTCAAGGCAGGTGAGCAAATACTTTTGGCAATATAGTGTATATAATTGGTGCTGCTATGTTAAATAGGGGTGGGTATTGCCAAAGAAGTCACGATTCGATTCGAATCACGATTAACAGGCCACGATGCGATTCTATCACGATGCATCACGATACTTGAATTATTGCGATGCATTGCAATATTTTCTCCTCCATGTTTTGTTTTTGAATGACTCGGCACAGTATCCCACGGCCGGAAATGCTTGTGACACAAGGCAGCGTGCGTCAACACATTTGCAGTGACATCTACTGGACTGGAAGTGGTATTGCACTTGTTTTTGGCTAATGTTCGCCAACCATTCATGCAATTTTATTTATTCATTTTTTTAAATTAATAATCGATTCTTGGCATCAAGAATCGATGCAGTAGATCACGAAAATTAGAATCACGATGCATCATCATCACGATTATTTTGCACACCCCTAATGTTAAATACGTCTTTATGTTACTTTTTGCCTGTTGGTCGGCATTAAATTACTTTGGAAGATTAAATTGTCCTGTTTAGCAATCAGGATTCAATCTGACCGTTGGGCAGCACATCTGCTCCAGCTTGCTGCACTTTGTATGTTTTATGGCCCATGGCATTGAGTGGGATTCAGCACACTTAGAAAATCAAAGTTACTGTGAACATCCATACTCTGCTTATCAGATGGTGATGAAGAGCTGCAGATATTGCTGTGAAAACTAAAAGTCTTCAGACCAAACCCCCTAAAAAATAATGAGGCTCGGCTCTGTTTTATAGAGCGGCTGAAGAGGCAGCTGTTTGAA